AATGAATCAAGAAGGAATACCTGTCACCCATAATATTGATAAGAACATTGAAGCTTACAAAGGTAAGATCCTTTTTCAAGCTCTCATAGGAGTGATTTGAACTGATCAGTTCAAATCAGTTGAACTCTGACAGCCTGACTCCAGAATGTGTAGGGACAGCCCTAGATGGCACTGGGTTCCTCTTGCCTGACATCCTCCAAGGGTGCCCTCCTAGTCAGCCCTTGCTGATGACTCTCTCCTGCTTGCTCTTCCTCTTGATGGGATGTGCCCTATCCTTACTTGAGAGAGAGCCAAATTCTTGATCTCTTCTCTCAAGATCACTTCTCCATCCAACCTGCCTCCAAAGCCCACAGATTTACTAAATCTGTCCTCAGCAAGCTCACAGATCACCTTCACTTTGTCTCTTAGAATACTCTCTGGTAAGTTCAACCCCCAGTATGCTGTATCCTCATTTTCTGCTCATTTTCTCCAGAGCACTTCCCACCGCCTAACATGCACATATTTCTGGTTTCTTAGTGCTTCGTGAGGCAGAAATTTGTATTCTTTTTTTTTTTTTTTTGAATCCTGGATACTGAGCATCTAGAATAATGCCCAGCACATAGCAAGTACTCCGTGTGTCTTTTTTGATGTAATACATAATGGCAAACCTAATGATATATCTGGTCCTTCCATGTGAACTGTCTGAATGTATTTCATATTATTGATCATTGCCTCCTTCTTGACACCTACTCATCCTATGCTTCTGAGGCATGTTCTCCTGGAACTCCTAGGCCCTTCTCTGGCCTCTCCTTCTCAGTTTCCCTCACATCTTATTCTGTTTGTAGTAATACTCAAAATATTAGTGTTCTCAGGGCTCCATCATCAGTCCTTTGCTTTTCTCATTCTAATTTCATGCATCCTCTGGACAAAGTGTTATAAGGACATTCCTACAGTTTCCATGCATAAACTACAGTCTTACAGATATACAATGAATGTGTATCTAACTTCCCAGGCAGAACTTTTTCCTGAGCTGCACATCAGTTCAAGGTAGCAATATTTGGTATCCTGTATGAACTGAAAATTTGCTTCTCATCTTACTGAGATGAGAACTTACTATGAGGAGATACAAATGAGCATGATAAACTGTGAATAAATGCTTTTCTAGCAGGAGATACATGTATTCAGGGTTATACAATTCCATTCAAATGTTCTAAGAGTATACAAGTTATTAAACATGCCCCCCAAAAATTCAACATCCACTGAAAAGACACTATGATAATTTTTGTTACTTTTTGACATCTACTTAGTTATTCAAGTGAAAAACCTAGGAATCATTTAGATACCTTCTAATCATCTTAATCCTTTAAGTCATTCTATATGCTGTTACTTTTCAATTTTAACTATCTTTACTAACTTGCTCCTTTTAGAAAGTTTCCTTGGGTCAGTCTTTCTTCAGTGATATCAGATTATCTTTCTTTTTTGAGTACAGTTAACACACAATGTTATATTAGTTTCAGGTGTACAACTTCGTGATTTGACAAGTTTATACATTATGCTGTGCTCACTACAAGTATAGCTACCATCTGTCCTGTTACGTGGCTATTACAGTATCATTGACTGTAGTCCTTATGCTGTGCCTTTTATTCTGACTCATTTATTCCATAACTGGAAGCCTGTATCTCCCTCTCCACTTGGATTTTCCTTCTTTTTTATTTAGGTACTATCCTGTGCATATATATATCATTCTGCTTTCTCTACTCAGGGTACAATGATGTATTGTCTGTCTACTTCAATACAACATAAGTTCTAGAGTTATTCATGATTGCTGTGGAAGACACTAGTATTTATCTTGAGCATTCATTCTCTTCCTTTTCTCATTGAAAAAGAACATCTGATTTTTACCTGGGCACATGACACATAGGTTGCAGTTACAATAAGAAATTAGAATTTCTAATTTAAGTAGAATAAGAAATTATAATTAAAGAGACTAAACGCCCCACGCTTCTTTGCAGATAATATTGCCATGACATGTAATTCTAGTAAATAATTATAATGAGATGTTATTATGCATAATCAATCATCTAGGCAATGTACTTAAAGGGAGGAAACATTCCCTCTTTTTCCCTATACTCTTCTGCTGAGTGCAAGGTACATGTGAGGGTAAGAAAATTTTACCCAGGAGGTGGCACATTAAACAACAGCTAACCAGCATATGAAAGGAACCAGGGCCTCTGATGCTACATAAAGCACAACCAGGGCTTTTCAACTCTTATAAGAGAGGAGGAAAAAAACACATTAGGCCACCCAGGCCAGCTGAATGGGTGCAAACTGCACATGCATTGGACTCAAAAGTGAGGGGAGCTGGGGACTGTGAACAGGACAAGTGTCAACAAGGCCTAATCATAGGAGCAAGCTCTTAGGGGTATAAAGTATCGACCTAATTCCAAGACCTGACCTATAGAAAAGCACATACTCTCCTTGAAGGCAAAGCAGGAGGAATCAGATCTCAACCCCAGTTGGCTGACAAGGGGTTTCATCCAATAAAACAAGCCTAGGACCTAATCAGAAAGTAGGTCCAAAAGGGGGATGACTTAACCCATTTGCAGCAGCCCTTTCAGAACAACTTTTGGGAAGTGGCTTCCCTCTACCCCAAGACAATGCAGGTGGTTGGGGCCATGCTGGAATTTCACAGGCAGGGAGGACCCCTGGGAGCAAGCGGTGGGTGGGAACAAGGCATCCAGCACTAATCACAAACCCTGGCTACCCAGTGGGGAATATAGCACCTGAAGGCAGAATTGGAGTTAGTGACATTGCCAGGGAGGGACGGGGCCTGATGGCCCGGTGATCCTCCAATAAGTGAGACCTGGGGGCCCTGGCTGCTGGAAAAGTCTGGGACCTCAGTAGTGAGCAAGTCCAAATGGAGACTGTTGCCAGTTTAAAGCCACCCCCTCTGAATGATTTTCACCAACTGGGCTTCCTCCACCCTGGAGTCTATGAGGGGGCTGAAGATTGGCCCAAGCCCCACAGACCAGAAGGGCTTAGCCTGCCCCAAGTCAGCTGAGGAGCGGCCTACTGCCTATGTGGGGTCCCGGCAGGTCAGGGTAGCCAGGCACCTGGGGAGCGGGGCAAGTGTTGGCAGAGGCTGACTCACAGGACACACTCCTGGGAGTACAAGGCATCTGACTAATTCCAAGCCCTGAATTACACAAAGGTGCATATTCCCCCTGAAAGCAGAGCTGGAGAAATTTGGACTGCCTTACCTGGTTCTGGATGGCCTGGCTAGTGCACTGATCCTCCATTAAGACACTCCTGGGAGAGAAGCCGGGACTCTATCAGGCAGCAGGTTTAAATGGAACCTGCCACCCATTAGCACCCGAAACCTCAGAAGGATTTTCAGGGGATGGGCTGCCTCCAGCCAGGAGGATACGCAAGGAGTCGTGGACAGTGTGGCTTTACTGTTTTGGAGAGCCTCTGTGCCCCAGGCCGGCTCACTGAATATTTAGTGCGCACGCGCAGTCTGAATGCGTGCGCAGTCTGCAAAGAGCCAAGAACCAGCTGCAGATAATTGGCCAACCAGGCAGCTGCCTATCGCAAATCCTACCTACCCAGTGGGGAACAGTTCCCCTGAAGCCAAAGCTGGGGCAATCTCCAGTGCCTTCCCAGGTGGCGCAGGGCTGCCTGGCCGAGTTTTCGTCCGGTAAGAGACTCCTGGGAACCTTGATTGCTGGAGAATCCTGGGACCCTATCAGGCAGCCAGTCCGAATGAGGACTCACTGTCGCCAGTTTAAAGCTACTGCCTCAAAAAGGTTTCAGGTTATGGGCTGTCTCTGCCCTGGAAGCTACGGAGGTGACCGGATGGGCCGGAGTTCTGCAGGTATGAAGGGCCCTGGCTGTCCAAGGTTGGCTGATGGGATGCTTACTGCTCATGCGCAGGCTTTGCACCACAGCACAGGAACGGTGCAAGTGCCGGGAGAAGTCGAGTCTCAGGAACAGGCTTTTGAAGGTGCAAGGCATCTGCTTAATCCCACGCACTAGGTACCCCATGGTGAATATCCTACTGAATATCCCTGGGAGTCCTGGTTCCAGAAGCCTGGGTCTCCATTAGGCAAGAAGGTCACATGGGGGCTGACTGTTGCCAGTTGATAGCTGCTCGCTCAGAGTAATTTTCTTGGGGGGGCGGGCTTTCTCTACCCTGAGACTGTGCAAGTATTTGGAGACCAGCCTAAGCCACACAAGCATGGAAGGCCCAGGCTGTCCAAAGCCAGCCAATGGATTGCATAGTTCACAGGTATGGCCTGGAACAGAGTAAGTGTCCGGATATGCCAGGTCACAAAAATGGGCTTTTTGGGGGTACTAGACATCTGCCTCATTCCAAATCTTAAGCTACACAAATGTGCATATTCTCGCAGAAGGCAGACCTGGAGGAATCTGGACTGCCTTGTCAGGCCAACTTGCCATGATAGCCTCCAATACAAGACACCTAGAACCCTTGATTGGTGGAGAAGCCCAGGACCCCATCAGGCAGCAAATCCAAATAGGGACTGACTGTCACCAGTTTAAAGCTCCCACCTCAGGAAGATTTGTTGTGAGCAGGTGATTGGAGACAGGCCCAAGTCTCTGGGGCCTGGAGGGCCTCGGCTGCCCAAGGCTGGGTGACAGGGTGTGTAGGCATGGGCCAGCAGGTCAGAGTAGCCTGGGCCATGGATCAGGCAAGTGGAGGGAAAGGCTGGGTCACAGGAACAGGTCTTAGGGGTTCAAGGAATCTGCCTAATTCCAAGCTCTCACCTACACAAATGAGCCTATTCCCCCTGAAGGCAATACTGGAGGATACTATACTGCTGACTTGCCAGGGAAGATGTGACTGACTTTCCAGTATAGTCCAATAAAGTACACCTTGGAGCTCTGGTGGGAGAAGCCTGGTACACAATCAATAGTAAGTCTAAATGGAGAATGACTGTAGCCCACTTGCAACTGCCACCTCAGAGTGGCACCTTTTGAGATATGGGCTCCTTGTATTCTAGAAGCTATACAGGTGTTTGGGCCCAGGCCCTAGATCCCCAGTCCTTGCAAGCCCCAGCTGCCCAGAGTTTACTGAGGGGGTATTATTACACATGAGCTTGCAGCTCATTTCAGGATTATCAGCGATGTGGAATATGGCAAGGGTTGGGAGAGTCTGATCACAGGAGCAGGACCTTGGGAAAGCAAGGCATTTACCCAGTCATAAGCCCTAAACTAGCCACTGACTAATATTCCCCATGAAGGCAAAATGTGAGGTAATTGGCAGGGGGGGCTGCTCTGATTCATCCTTGTTTCCTTCAACAGAAATACCTGGGAGCCCTGATAATGGGAGAAGCCTGGGACCCAATCAGACCGCAAGTCCAAATGAAGACTGACTGTTGCCAGTTTAAAGCTGCCACCTCAGAATAATTATCAGTAGGTGTGCTCCCTCCATCCTGGAGTCTATACAGGTGGTTAGTCATGCACCCGAGCTCCACAGGTCTGGAGGGCCCCCGATTCCCAAAGCCCTTTGGTGGAATGTGTACTGTGCTCCTGCTGGCTGGAAGGCCAGGGTAGCCAGGGACCTGGAACAGGGCAGGTATCTGGAGAGGCTGAGTCCCAGGAGCAGAATCTTGGGGGAACAAGGCATCTGCCTATTCATAAGCCCTAACATACACATTGGGTAATATTACCCCTGAAGGCGAAACAGATTACTTGACTATCTTGCAAGGGAGTAGACTGGCCCATAGTATCCTTCAAAAAGTGACACCTGGGTGCCTTGATGGGCATGTTCTGATGTGAGTAGGTAATGCCAACCTGGGTAACTTCCATTTCTAAAGGTCAACTTGTATCATATCATATAGCCTAATCATGGGATGAAAATCCAACATATTCCCAGGGATGAGGCAAATTTTTTCTTTGATTTAACTTGGAGCCTGATAACTAGTGTTCTATAGAGGGTCAACAGTTCTTATTGTTTTCTGCATGTGCTCGTGCTACCTCCATGGACTTGAGAATTAATTAGGATCAAACTTACACTCCCTCCCCAAGGTGCATTTTATGGGCTGTAACATATTAAGGGGATAGTACTCAGACCTGACCCAGTCCCAGCCCCTCCCCACTCTCAGTGGGATGGTGCTGAAGGTATCATAGGAAGGTATAAACCCTGGATACTCCCATTTCTCATGTCCAATCATATGCAAATATTGGACAAACTCATCAAAGAGCATCCTAAGGTGGTAGAGAAATAGACAGTGTTTAGTTGTTGAAATTGTTAAATACAAAACCCTGACTCTTGATAATTTAGGTGTTTTTCAAAAGTGGACCTTTCTGGTTTATAGAACTGCTTAATGAAATATTGCTTAATGAAGGACTTTTTAAAAAGATTTTATTTATTTATTTGACAGAGAGAGAGACAGGAGAGACAGTGAGAGGGGGAACACAAGCCCGGGGAGTGGGAGAGGGAGAAGCAGGCTTCCCGCCGAGCAGGGAGCCTGATGCAGGGCTGGATCCCAGAACCCTGGGATCATGACCCGAGCTGAAGGCAGACGCTTGACAACTGAGCCACCCAGGTGCCCCGCTTAATGAAGGATTTAAAAAGTCTGAGGAGTTGCATTTAGAGATATATTGACTAAAAGAAGAAATTGAAACAACTGAAAATATAAGTGGTTCTGGATTTCAAAGGTTGTAGACACATCTGACAGTGTTGTAATTGTTTCACTACCTGACTGCTAAGCTGTTTGATGTTGGGATAAAACTTTTCAGCTCACCGACAGGGGCGCCTGGGTGGCTCAGTCGTTAAGCGTCTGCCTTCGGCTCAGGTCATGATCCCAGAGTCCTGGGATCGAGCCCGCATCAGGCTCCCTGCTCCGCGGGCAGCCTGCTTCTCCCTCTCCCACTCCCCCTGCTTGTGTTCCCTCTCTGGCTGTCTTTCTCTCTGTCAAATAAATAAAACCTTTAAAAAAAAAAAAACAACTTTTCAGCTCACCGACAAAACAGGCTTGTATTTCCTGGCATGGATATTATAAAATGAAGCATCTTTTGTTTTATTTTTTATTTTCATTTGTTTTAAAAATTTATTTATTTATTTGACAGAGAGACTAGTGAGAGCAGGAACACAAGCAGGGGGAATGGGAGAGGGAGAAGCAGGCTTCCCACCAAGCAGGAAGCCTGATGCGGGGTTCCATCTCAGGACCCTGGGATCATGACCTGAGCCGAAGGCAGATGCTTAATGACTGAGCCACCCAGGTGCCCTTCATCTTTTGTTTTAATAGTATAATACTGTGGCTCATTTTTGAAGTCTGTATGTCATGCTACTTTCATTCAACAAAAGTTCAAAAATAAATGATTCAAAAACTATTAGTACATTATAATAATTACTAATATTAATATTTTGTTATTTTGGTTAATTTCTCTTTTCATATTTCATACACATTTGTAAAGTCTATTCATGATGAAAGGATATACAAAGACCTTATTGCAGAGCTTTCTTCTTTATATAAATGTTCTAAATACAAGTTGTTAGAACCGTGGACTTAGAGACACCATATCCTAATCAAATGACTTACCTGTTTTTGTCCAATGGTCATAGTGTGCAAACAGTGTAGGGGAACAGTACAATGAACACTTTTAAATATGTTGGAATCAGGGGTGCCTGGCTGGCTCAGTTGGTAGAGCATGTGACTCTTGATCTTGGGATTGTAAATTCAAGGCCCATGATGGGTAGAGAGATTACTTAAAAATAAAATCCTTTAAAAAAAACATTGGAATCCACCAAAGAAATACAAACAATTATAAGAACATATTATGAGCATCTATATGTCAGCAAATTAGACAATCTGGAAGAAATGAATGCATCCCTAGAGATGTATAAACTACCAAAACTGAACCAGGAAGAAATAGAAAACCTGAACAGACCCATAACTACTAAGGAAATTGAAGCAGTCATCAAAAATCTCCCAAAAAACAAGAGCCCAGGGCCAGATGGCTTCCCAGGGGAATTCTACCAAACATTTAAAGAAGAATTAATACCTATTCTTCTGAAACTGTTCCAAAAAACAGAAATGGAAGGAAAACTTCCAAACTCATTTTATGAGACTAGTGTTACCTTGATCCCAAAATCAGACAAAGACCCCACCAAAAAGGACAATTACAGACCAATATCCCTGATGAACATGGATGCAAAAATTC